TAGTAGGTAAAACTTTAGGTAAAAATTTTAGGTAAGTGTAGCATTGTCCTTTGAAATTTATAGAAGCTTTGGGGGTCAAACTACAATTTTATGAAAATATGGGCATCTGACATTTTCAGACTTTTTTCAGTAGTTAGGCTTAGAAACGATCTTTTAGAAGGAAAATTATCTAAAATCAAGGGTTGAAGATTTAGGGCATGTATGTTTTTTATTCTCAAATTCTACTGTAAATTAATTCTCATTTTCAACCACGCATTCTTCAATAAAATAATATTTTCCATCACATCAATAATTTTTTCTTCTTTTTAACCACACATCTCTCATCATATCACTATTCAAAAATCAATTCTTCCCCCAAAAATTCCTACCAAACAAGCACTTAATTATCATAAATCAGGTGACTAAGAAGTTTTTTTTTTTTGAAAAATCAGGTGTTAAAAACTAAAAGATTTATCTCTTTCTTTACAAACAAGAAAGGGGAATGAAACCAAGGTAGAATAATTTCTCTCTATTTGCAAAGCAGAATGGAATCAGAGCAGGATGAGATTCGATGACGCCCTAGTAGATCGACATCCTCCAAATTGATTGGTATGACGATCGTCACCTATTAGTCTCCCATCCTCCGATGTGCCGCTGCCATCGCAATCCCCAAATCTTTTTTCTCCGACAACCATGTTGTCGACGCTTCCAACAAATACCCCCTCTTGGTTGAGACTCGTCGGAATCTGATATGAGATCCACCAAGTCCTTCACCTCCACCTTCATTGGAACCATCGTCAAATCCATCAATATACTCTTTACTTGTAGTGTTCTTTCAATTATTAGCATAGGAAACTCATCATCTCTTAAAAAAATTTATTCAAATCTGAATGGAAATTTTTCCAATTTCAGTAAATTCTAGGTCTTCTTTGGCAATAAAATCTTGCTTATTTTGTTTTTATTTTTATGTTGTTGTTAGTAGATGATGCCGTAATAGATTATTACTATGTGCCGCATTTTTCGTTTTTTCACGCTCAGAAGCTTGCAGAAGAGTTTCTTAAAATTATTGCTGAAGGTGATGATGTGAAGTTGAGACCAAGTTGTTGGTGCACCTGAAATTCGTTATGGGGGTGGGGTGAGGTGAAGTGGTGGTGATAAATTGGACAATTCTTGTGGTACATCACAAGTTACATCAGGGTGTCCATAATGGACACCCGATGCTCTCTCATTGGTTGGGGTGCCGATCCGACAAGCCCCCCACCAATAGGGGGCGCCGGGTGTCCATTATGAACACCCTATGTATCTTTTGATGTACCACAAGAATAATTCTGATATATTTGAGGTGAGGTGGTGGTGCATGGATTTGATGTAACCATGGTGATTTTGGTGGTATTAGCAGTGGTGGGTGGAGTGAGGATGCTAGCCATGTGGTCCATACCTGGACAAATAAGGCTTAACCTTTCTTAACATGAAATATAAACCTCAACCCTCGAAGTGGATAAAGAAATCCTCCATTGCTTTTGGTAAGCAAGTAGGTGTAAATGTTGTATTTGCTGTAGCGGTAATGATGGAGGAAGCAGTAGTTTCAGTTACGGGTCAAGGGCTGATGACTTCTATTCACATTCTTCTCTTTCTTATGATAAAGAAATAGCTGATAATGTCGTTGAGAGATCACCATAATAAGAGCAGGTTGAAGCGACGAAAAGTGACAAAACAACATTTTATACTGTGGTGTTTGGTTGTGGTGTTAATTGTTGGTTGGTAATATTTGGGGTGAAGGTGGTATTTATAGTCATTGATTTGAGTTAAAGGAGGTAATGGTGGTGCATTGGATGTTATGGTGATGGTAGATTATAGTGTTGGTCTGCGGTGTGTGCGAATTTGTTTGTGGTGACATCTGTGATCAAGTATGTGTTTAATGTGACTAGTTGTAATCAATTTTGTATTAATTATGACTGATTGTGACTTGTTCACATACCATCACAGTTAAAATTGACCGATCACATACTGTCACATTGAAGACAAATTTAGTCGCAGTTAGAAACAATGAAGAAAAAATTGGTTACAGTTAGTCAAAGATAACACATGTTAGTGACTTGGTAGAGTATAGTTACAAATTAAACGGTCACAGACAATCACACTGAAGACAAATTTGGTTATAGTTAATTACAGATAACACAAGTTAGTGACTTAGTTACATAACAAATTAGACGGTCACACTGAATACAAGTTTGGTCAGAAAAAATCTGGTCAACAAATAGCATAGTTAGTCGCAAATTTAGGGTGATTCCATGGGAGTAGGGTGTAATTTCCAAAATACGTTTTAAATTTTTTGAATTTTTTTAACGGTTTGGGTGGAGTAGAGTGTGGGTGGGTGGAGAGTTTTCATCTTTTAAAGTTTTAAAGGTTCCGAGGTGGGATGTAATCTTGAGAAAAATTTTCATTTTTTTTGAAAATATTTTACAGCTGTGGTCCATGGGGGTGGGGGTGGGGGTGAGGTGGTTCCGAGATAGGGTGTATTCTTAATAAAAGATTTTTAATTTTTGAAAATTTTTTACAAGTTAGGTTGGGATGAGATGGGGTTCCGAGGGTGGGGTGTAATCTCGAGAAAACTTTTCAATTTTTGAAATTTTTATAAAGGTGGGATGGGGTCCGTAGGGTCGGGTGGATGGGGTATTATTAATTGATATATTATT